AAATAAAATAAAATAAACCTGGCAGCTATTTCTTTGGGGATGCAAGCTGTTCAAGATCGATGAGATGCTATATGAATACTAGAGATGCAAATTATCTGTTTTCTTCAGTTCTAGAGTGGAGACACAATGTTTTAGTGCTCCTGTTACTCACTGAAGGGATCACAACTCAATGGAAGAGCACATGCTTCACAGGCAGAGGATCCCAGACATCTCTGGCATCACTATTGGCTTTGCTGGTTAGAGCTAATGGAAGTTGCAATCCAGCAACATCTGAAGGGTCACACATTTTCCCATCTCCCATCTGATTTACAAAGATTAGATGGCAGGTACTGGAAAAAGTACCTTTTTGTTGCGGTGGCTCACGTGGCTAAGACACTGACTCTGTTGATTGCAAGATTGGCAGGTTGGCAGTTTCAGGCCCGGGTTCTGCATGATGGGGTGAGCTCCTGTCACTAGTCCCAGCTTCTGCCAATCTAGCAGTTCGTAAGCATACAAATGCAAGTCGATAGACAGGTACCACTTCAGTGGGAAGGTAAATAGCATTCTGTGCAATCATGCTGGCCCCATGATCAGAGTAGTCTCTGACAACGCTGGCTCTTCGGCTTAGTAACGGAAGTGAGCACCGCCACTGCCACCTATGGTTGGACACGACTTGACAACCTTTTCAACAGGGAATACCTTTACCTTTACCCTTTTCCTGAATTTGGGTGTGTTAGAGGTAAGGAATCCTGGATCGGGCTGAAGGGCTCTCTACCCCCTCTTCATTGATCACACAGGTGCTCTGTTCTGAAATGATGGTGATGGCTAGGGTCTTGCAGGGAATTGCTTGGCCAGTGAGGCTGTAGAGGCAGCACAAAGGGTGATGAGCCAGTGAGATGATGGTGGTGTTACTCAGTGGTCCATCTGGACATGTTTGGCCCACATCATGACAACATCATGACAGCTTGGACATGTTTGGCCCACATCATGACAACATCATGACAGCTTGGAGCACAATACTCCAGTCCAGATTAAGGGGGCCAGTATAGACACATCTTATGTTATTTATAATACGAGCTTTAAACTAAAGCATGCTGGTAGTTTGGGTACCACCAATTTGCCTTGGGCCTGCTCACCCCTGGAATGTGGCCCTTCAAAACATCTCTGAAATTGAATTTGGCCCTTAAGCCGAAAGAAGTTCACCACCTTCAGTTTAATGTATGGCTTACCTCTTTCATCATCACATGGGCTGATTCCAGTGTTGTATTATCAGATTTTTGAGTTTGGTTGGAGAAATACTGAAGTTGATTGGGAAATGTTAACTGGCTCATATTTGGAACAGACGGCATCTGTGTGTATAGGGGAAGTGGCAATTAACATATTGTGGCAATTAGCCAAGGCATGTAATGTGGACAATGCCATTTTACTGGTAGTCATTTTTATTTCATGAGTTGTGTTTAAAAAAAATTAAACTGTGGAATGTAATAGCATTAAATAACACTTTCAAAGCTCATATTAAGGTAATATCAACTCATTTAGCAGCTTCAACAGAGCAGGAAGGCAGCATGAAATGAACAAAGAATGGCACAGTGGGAAATTTATGCTTGCAAGAGGGCAATTCATTCCTTGCAAACAACTGTGACTGGGATGTAGACAGACTTGGAGGAAACCACTGATGCTAATTGTAGAGCAGCTGAGGAGAGAAATATCCTCCTTGAAGGCTATCTGCATGGAAGCTTTTGTTCTGGGGAAGGGGCACAAATTTGCATTTTTGCTCAGGTGCATTATCTAATGACCCCCCCTCCCACTTTGTCCAAGGAGCTTTGTATAAACTGATGGCCAATGAGGAAATGCTTTGGCCATTAACAAGAGGGAGTCAGAAGAAGGCACAGGGAGAGTCAAGACTGTCAGAGGAAAAATACAGGGTGAGACTCTGCATCTGCGCAAGCAGAGTGTAATGCTCCACATGTACAGTTGCACTAAGCTGCCTTTTGGTCCTGAGGCACGTAGTGTCCTTATCAGAAAATTGTGCGGGGGCCCATAGTCATGTAGTGATCAGGACAGAATGGGTAGCAGATGGTTGCAGTTTTACAGCTGGGAAATAAGATGAGGCATTGCTTCCCAGATTTGTGGAGATCCAGGAAAGTGGGGTCTCCTTTATCACCTGCCTGCAAAATTCAGTCCGCTGCTTAGATACCTCCTGCTCTGCCTTGATCACTGCATTGCCATAGGTAGGTATGTTGTCCCATTATATATGCTGCTTTCCTCATGAGGGAGAGGTTTATGATGAAGATAGTAAATGCCTCCTTCCATCTCTCCACACAATGCCATACATGAGCATTATGCCCGGTTACACCCACAGATGTCACAGACATGTTTCCACCTGCTGTCTTGAGTGAAAAATACAGTTCAAGGAATTAGACCCCAAAACAGTGAAATGAAGACTAGTCATGCTTACTTGTTAAATTTCTTCTTGTTTGTTGCTGCTGCTGTATGCCTTCAAATAGTTTCCAATTTATTACCCTAAAGCTAACCTATTATGGGGTTTTCTGAGACTGAGAGCTGGGGACTTGCTGAAGATCACCCAATGGGTTTCCTTGGCCAAGTGTGGATTCAAATCCTGGTCTCCAGAGTCATAGTCCAATGTTCAAACCACTATGCCATGTTGGTTCCAACTTGCTAAAATAACCCGCTTCAACTTTTGGTTTAAAAATACAAAATGAGGTAAATTCAAGTTAACATGTGCCTGGGATGACATTTTCCCCTCTCCCTAATGGCTTGTGCTTGTCTCTGTTGGCTTTGAGACTTTGTGCACCAGTCTGTTTTTGACCATAAGTGCCTGAATCCTATGAACTTTTGTGTGATATGGGATTTGGCCTAAGAGACTAATATGAGATTTGGTTCCTTAATTAGTTTATGGACTGGGCTGTCTGACCTCTACTCTTTGTGAAATGGATTCAGCCCAGTCTGTTCCCTGTGCTGCATAATTTTAAATATAATTTTTAAGTAGAGCTTTCTGTTTCCTTTAATGATGTCCTGACTTTCACTGTTTAATGCTTCTTGAATGTTCTTGAGTTGGTACGTGTGCATTTTATTGCCGTACAATTAATGCATGCTGTGCTCGGGAATGCTGTCTGGCTTCCCTCTCCCCTGAGACCACTGAAAGAGAGGCATTTACATATGTATAGTACAATGAACTCAGTCTTCCTTAACATCATATTTTACAAAGATGGCTGTGATGTTTGAGACAGTATTACGATTCTTCTACACGCCGGAGAAATGAGCAGGTACAAGACTTGGTTACTTGGCAGCTTACAAATGAGACATTTGATAATTGAAAACTCTGACTGCAATTAAAGGGAAATTTATGCCCATTTTTAATCTAAAAGGAAGAAGAAATGCCTTTTATTGCTTGCACTTAGGAGTGTTTAATACTGCAACTCTTGTCTGTGAGAGATTCTGTGAATGCATCTGGAATCTACCTTCACAGCCCCATGTAGTACTGTGCTAAAAATTTCTTCCACTTTTCTTTTTACTGTTTGTATTCAATTTGATAGACACCCCCCACCAAAAACCAAAAAAACAAAAAACAAACCCTGTTCAAAGGAGGAGAATATTTCAGATAAATTTTTATTGTTGGGGTTCAATTTCTTGTGTTTACCTTATTAATGAGGTAGTCAAGAACTTTCTCCCTCCTTCCCCCCCATTTTGTCTCTGCCCTTTTAAGAAATGATATAATCATTTCCTTAGCCTCATGCAATGACAGCTGGTGGCTTCCATGTCAGTGAGGCAGAAAATCCAATCTAAGTCTTCCTTCAAACTTTAAAGGAACTTATTTGGGGGTAGGGCTTAGTTCCTTGTATGTTGTTGTATGTTGATTTCAAGTCATTTCTGACTTATGGTGACCCTAAGGTGGTGAACCTATGGGGATTTCTTGGCAAGTTTCTTCAGAGAGCATTTGCCACTGCCATGGTCTAAGGCTGAGAGAGCATGACTTGCCCAAGGTCACCCAGTCGGGATCCATGGCCAAGCCAGGAGTCGAATCCTGGTTTCCAGAGTTGCAGTCCAATGCTCAAACCACTACACCACGTTGGCTCTATTTCCTTGTATTAGTCCTTTACAGTTCATACTAAAACTAGAAACAAATTTGCCATCCTAGAAGCCACTAGTTGCCAATGGAGTCCTCCTCTGTCCCACCCATCCAGCTTCCAGCACTCCTATGGAAATACAGGAGAAGATATCATAAGGCAACTCATCAGATCAGGAAGTGTAGATGGCTGCAGGGTTATGATGGAAATAATAATAATAATAATAATAATAATAATAATAATAATAATAATAATAATTTATTTATAGCCTGCCCCTCTGCTCAGCAATCGGGGTGGGTTACAGCATTTTAAAACATACAGAGTTAAAAAATGAAATACGAACACACACACACCACCTTCAGACAGCTCACAATGAAAAGGTTAAAAACACTACCAGAAGCTAGTCACAAAAATTTCTAAAGCACTCTATGGCTAGCTAGGGGTGGCATAGGGAAAATAGCTTCTGCCCCTCTCACATACAACATACAACATACAACATACAACATACAACAACATACAAGGAACTAAGCCCTACCCCCAAATAAGTTCCTCTTTTAAGGATTTCTACTTCTCAGCCATGAAGGGAGGTAAGGAATCAGGGAAAGCCACTGAGGGAACAGCAGGAATTAAAGCAGTTTTCTGCAGTTTTGCACACAACCTGTTGGACTATTTTGCTGGGGACAATGGGAGTTGTTGGCTAACAGATTTGGAAGCCATGGAGGTTAGTGAAGGATGATTTAAGATGTCATTTGGAGCAACTGCACCAGGGGTGGGCAAAATGTGGCCTGTGTATCACACTTGCCTCCCAGGGTTATTTTTGTGGCTTCCAAATATTACTTATTTAAAAAAATTGCATTTTCCCTCAAGGGTTTTTAAAAATTTTTTTTTACTCCAGAATGTTAAAAAAAAAAAAGTGTGTGGAAGGCATTTCTACTAAGTCTGGAGCCCCTGTGGACCATCCAGGGGACAAAAAGAACTTTTGTGAATTTCTTTTGTTGCAAATTGCCTCTAAGGGTCCAGGAAGGTCCAAATGTATGGGCATATGGGGCTGAAAAAATGTTTTTTTAGTTAGTTGGGGGGGCAGATGCAGTGGGGTGCAGCCTCTTAACCTCTCCTAGAGGGTTAGTGTGCACCCCTTTTATTTCATAAGATGCCCACTCCTGACATACACCATTGGTACAATAAGGCTGCTTCCATCCAAAGACCTGTCCATGGTTCTGAAAATTTTGCCTCTAACCCAGGGGTAGGCAACCTTTCCTCTTTAAGGGCCGAGGGACTTCAGCTCCCAGAATCCCAGGAGTTATTGGCCAACATGGCTTAGGCTTCTGGGAGCTGAAGTCCCTCGGCCCTTAAAGGGGAAAGGTTGCCTAACCCTGCTCTCACCCTTCTGTATCTTCTGAACAGTGAAATCTTGTTTTCTGCTGGTGCTTAAGGATGTATGTGTTAGGTGCCTTTATGTCATTTCCAACCTATGGCAACCCTAAGGCCATGACAGGAACCAGGATTTAGAGGATATTCAGTCTGATAGTGGTGTAGATGGTTTGAGGGTTGAACTATGCCTCTGGAGACCAAGGTTTGATTCCTAGCTCAGCCATGAAACCCACTGGGGGTTATCATGGTTTTTTTTTTTTTTTTGCAAGATTTGTTCAGAGGAGGTTTGCCATTGCCTTCCCCTAGGGCTGAGGGCATGTGAATTTCCTCAGGTCACTCAGTGGGTTTCATGGCTGAGCTAGGAATCGAACTTTGGTCTCAAGAGGCATAGTCCAACACTCAAACCATTACACCACAATCAGATTGAATATCCCCTAAATCCTGGTTCCTGTTATTCTCTCAGCTGCTGGATGCCATCCCTCCCTGCGCTCCAGGTTGTCTATGGTCTGTTTCCTCAGAGGAAAGTGCAGCGGGGAATCTATCAAACTACTCCTTTGATTACTTTCCCCAGAGAATGAAAACTTTTAACTTTGACAGATGGTTAATTAATTATTTTTAATGCTGTTATAAGCTGAAATTATGTTTTGACTGCTGTTTCTTATTGTGTTGTTTGACACCGGGATGGATTTCATTAGTTCATTTTCATGCCATAAAGTTTTGGGACTGCAAAAGAAAGAAAGAAAGAAAGAAAGAAAGAAAGAAAGAAAGAGACTGCATACTGCTGAAGAGTGAAGGGTGGAGAAGGTTTGACAGATATTTTGGATTTCAGCTTCCACGTTCTGTTTCTATTATCTATATTAGCTAGGGATTATAGGAACTGAACTCCAAAACATATGGAGAATCAAAGAATTTCCAACCATGCTGGTATGTTCTGCATCCATGCCCAGTCTTCCATGGATTTAAAAATGATAAGGCCAGATATTATTATCTCTGTTCAGGTTTATGCCTGGCCAGGGTAGATTCAATCACAGAGGTCATGGACCTGAATCTACAAGACCTAAGAAGAGCAGTGGAAGTTAGAGGGCTTAGAGATGTCTCACATACAGGGTCACCTTACACAGGTTGACTCATACGCAGGTTGACTCGAAGGCAGCTAAAAACAACAGGGTAGACTAGGATGCATAAGAGGCCCAAGGCCCTGTGTACAGGACCTGACTCAACACCTCCACTGGTACTAAACAAGGGGTGGACAACACATAGACCTAATTTCTATTGACATTTTATACATGCATATATTCCCATGCAGAAGCAGTTGGATATTTATGTCCAATCGTTCCTGTGCACATTCAGTTCAAAGTTTTGAGTTATGATGGAAGGGAGAATTTTTATAAAATGATGTATAGATGGTATTTAACACCTGACAAGCTATTCAAAAGGTACAAGAATAGTTCAAACAAATGTTAGAAATGTAAACCGAAGAAGTGATGGACTTGTGTCAGACCTCCATATCCACAGATTGTTTTATCAATGGATTCAACCGTCCATGGCTTGAGAGTATTTTTAAAATATATAAATTCCAAAAAGCGAACCTTGATTTTGCCATTTTATATAAGGGACACCATTTTATTATGCCATTGCATTTAATGGGACTTGAGTATCCAAGCAAGGATTTTGGTATCCACTGGGGGAGTAGTTCCTGGAACCAAACCCCAGTGGATACCAAGGGCCCACTGTATATCTATCAGCTGGGGGGAGCAGTAGTGTATGTTTGTTTTTGTTTAATATTTAATCCATTTGTTTTATGATTGTTGTTTGTATATGTTTGTTTTAGATATATTTTTTATAAGATATTCTATAAGGTTGTGCTTAGCGTTAATAAAAATGATTTTTAAAAAGTTCTAGAAGTGGAGTTGCACATGTGCCATTGTTCATTCATATGTGCATTAAGCATGAATATGCATTGTGCATGGATATGCACAATTGGTGTTGGATTTGGTTGCACATTTGGTATGTCTATTTTGTAATATTTATTTTATTTTATATCTATCTTGTCTTTCTCCCATGATGGGATTCAGGGTGGCTTACAATAATTTTTAAAAGATTAAGCTAAAATATTAGTTTGCAAAAATGGAAAAAAGAATTAAATGACAATATTACTTTAAAAACATAATTACAAACAGCTTAGAACATATTTAAAATGTAATTTTAAGTAAAAAAAATTAAAAATACAGGACACTACTTTACATATACACTAGTGCTCCATAATTAAAATTCAAAGGCCTGCCTGAATAAAAACATCTTCACCTGCTTGCGGAAAGAGAGCAGGGAGGGGACCAATCGGACCTCCTGTGGAAGGGAATTTTACAGCTTGGGAGCAGCCATGGAGAAGAGTTTCTCCTGAGTCCTCACCAAAGCTTCCTGTGAGCATGGCAGAACTCTGAGAAAGCCCTCCTCTGCAGAGCTTCATGCACTCCCTAGCTTACATAAGGAGATATGCTCTTTCAGATAGTCAGGATTCAAGCCATGTAGTTTAAAGATCAAAACCAGCTCTTTGAATTCTGCCCAGAAGTGGATTGGTGAAGCTGCTTCAACAGGGGCATCACATGGTCACTGTAACTAACCCCAGTCAACAACCTGGCCACAACATTTTGGACTTGCTGATGTTTCTGAACAGTTTCCAAAGGCAGTCCCATGCAGAGTGCATTTCCAATAATTAGTGCATGACTCCACATTATCCATCCCTAGTGTAGTGTCTCAGTCATATGGCCTCTGGGCCCTCCCAGAATCCTTCTGTCCAAAAGTAAATACATGAATAACATAACTACTTTATACACAACAGCAAGTCCTCCATGAGTCACTCATTCTTGCAGTAAGACCGAACCTTCCCCAGTTGAAGGGGAACATCTGTAGGAGGCTCCTACTTCCATTTGCTGGAACACAGTAGAGATTAAGAATCACCCACTGCATACCTCTATCTCCCCATTTATGGGAGAATAATAGCCCCATGGAAAGGGGCCTGTCCAACCCAATGTCAATCTGTGTTAATCTGTTGTAGCGCAAACAATAGTCTTGTTGAGGTACCATAAGGACTAGTAGATTTATTAACAATGGGACTGAATAAGCATGTGTAGGAGTTGAGTGTTAATGGAAGAAAGTGCAGGAACAGCAGCTGAACGGTGCATTAGTGCTCAGTCGAAGCATTTTGACAGAGTTGTAACAATAACCTCAGCCTCTCAATCACTGGTTAGCTGGTGTGCAATCACCTTTTTACTTCTCCCAGCCACATACAAAACTCAAAGAAAAATGATATCTGGCCAACAAAGGAAAAAATAAACACTTCATTTTATCTACTATCATAGACCACCTCCTCCGAGACTGATATTTCTTCTGATAATACCACTAACACAGATAAAATGGGACTTTTCACCCACTTTAATAGCACTCTAAAAGCCAGTGAGAATTTATCTTTTCAAAAGGGAATGAAGCAGTGGAGGGAGGAGAGGGCAAGAGAGAGAGAAAGAAAGAACACATCTTTTGCTGAAAAGTGTATTCACTTCATTATGATTTTACCTCTGGCGGGACTTGTTCAGTTGCACTGAATGCAACAGAAGTTGTGATACATTGGATAAGCCCTTC